TATTCTAAATATTTTTTAACTTGTTAATTTTTTTGCCAATCATATTTGAAAACAAAACACACATTTTTATAAATTTTTAGATTTTATAAAAATATTTATAAAGGTATTTTTTTAACTATAGTGATCACATTTAAATCAAATTATGAAATACTATATCTTAATCAATAGAAATAATAAAATAATAAATTTAAATAAAATAAAATAAAAATTTCCTAAGAGTATAGAGGAATAAATAAGAAATTAATATTTACATTTTGTTCACTGAAAAACTTTTATTAAGCCTATGTTTGATCCCCATTTTGGGGTAAAATGTATTATGAAATAGTGATTATTTTTGGAGAATGTGTGATTAAAAAGTAAAGAAATTTTTTTGAAATAGATGTATAATTATTTTATATAAAAATGTGATTGAAAATGAATTTTGAAAAAATATATTCTTGAAAAAATGGGCCCAAATAGGGGCTAAAAGTAAACCTCAAGGAAGATTTTTGAAAATTTTGTATATATGGGAGAGATCTATGTAATTGTCATAAATCTTAAGAGATGATTATGTAATTTACTCTAAAAATATGTCCTAAATTTTCTCCTCCCCGCAATTTGAGTATAGTATTACAAGTTAGCCAACAAGTACAAAATTGTGTTAAAAAAATGGTTGATAAAATATGTGTGGCAAGATCTGAACCAATGATTTCAAAAATTGTTTTTTATATTATTCGACAAGATCTTGCCAACACATATTTTGTCAACTATTTTTATAATCCAATTTTATAAGCGTAGCATTGCTCTAGCATTACCTCCATCTCCGCACCTGTTAGCGTTCCCACCTTCTCCTAATTCCATCCTTGTCGTTCTTTTTCATTAAAAGTGTCCAAACTTCGCTCGACTAATCTTGAGGAATGACGGCCTTCTCCCGATTTGTAACCCGAGTAAAGTTAGCTTTCCCACCTTCTCCTAATTCCATCCTTGTCGTTTTTGTTGTATAGGCAAGAGGGGGTCCACAGTTAAGGGATGATGATGGAGATAAAGGTTAAAATTGACAAGTATATGAAAGATAAATTTGAAATTTTTTTATCTTTAATGTTAGAGTAGTTTAACGTGACTTTTACTTTTACTTCATTTAAAAAGGATTTTAGAGGAAAATCACTTAATTTTTGTTCGAAAACTAATTTTTAAAAAAGTTCTCTATTCCTTTAAATACTCTTCTAACTTTTTAAGTCAAGAACCTTGCTATATGTACATTTTAATATACACTTTGGTTTACACTTTATCACGTGACATTATCCGATTAGACAATTTAAATTTCAAACAATTTTTTCATTCAATTGACACTTGACAACAATGCAAGCGTCAACCAAAGTATAAAAAATAAGTGTACAAATATAACAAAGTCCTTAAGTCAAAAGGTAACTTTTAAGTCTCAAAAACTCATTTCAACTTTTTAAATCCATGCCAAACGCCCTGACCTTATTTAGATGCCCTTCTAGAAGCCATATGAGTGAACATAAAAATGCACTCTTTTTTTATCTTTTCGAATTTTCAAATCTCTGTGGATACCTGTCCCCACTGCTCCCCATATGCCACATTGCAAGATGCAATAGGAAAAGGGGGAGAATGTTTGATTTTATATTTTTCTTTTAAATCTTATTGTAAACCAATAGAGGAAAACCATGTAGCGAGGTATAAGAGAGAAATTTGAAAGTTTTTACACCTAATGCCAAGAACAATAGTTGAAGACCCAAGTAATTTCCATTTGGATAAAATAATCCTACAAATATAAAAAGAGTGAGGAGCCTTTGTACTGTAGAAACTAAAGGATAACGAAACGCCGCCGTTTTGGGAGTTTCAGATTTTCATCTCTCCAATAATACGACCTTGTTGGCTTAGGGTTTCTCTTGTGTGTCATTTCTCTCATATTTCC